CGTACCGTTTGGTTGGTTGAAGTCGATTATGATGTGAAATCTGCCCCACGGACACAATTTTTGATCTGAACGGAGTGCAGATCCAGTTTAAAGCATTATGAAAGGCTTGAATAGATTTAATGAAAAATAATTCGTCATGCGATGACGGTAGAGGAGCTTTAAAAGTCGGGTGTCTCGACATATAATCTACAAAACCCAGAGAGGAACCTGGTACATATTTTTCATAATCGAACGGGATGAGACGATCCGCCCAACGAGAAAGTCGCGACTGATAAGATTTCTTGCCGTACGTTTCATTGAGTGCTGAGATAATAGCTTAATGATCGGTTAAGATAACAAAACGCTTACCAAATAAATATGTACGAAAATGTTTGCACGCCCACACAATGGCCAGAAGCTCTAACTCATTAGAGCTATATTTGATTTCTGTGGAATTAAGAAATCTAGAGGGAAACGCTATCGGTGCCCAGACATTTGGTGCTACTTCCTGTTCCAAACAAGCTCCTAGCCCACTGTGACTCGCATCACATTTCACTCGAGAAGCTTTTGAGGCATCATAGTGATACAAGTTAGGGATGTTTGCAATGAGGTCTAAAATTTTCTGAAAAGCAGTATCTTGCTCTTTCCCCCACAAAAAGGATTTCTTATTCTCCGCTTTTAAAGATGCTCGGAATGCGACCGTATACTTATGCAATTCTGGAATAAAATGTTGAAGATGATTGAGCGTTCCCGTGAATGATCTTAAGTGTTTAAGGGATTTCGGTGGCATAAGTGATCTGACAGCCTCGATTTTTGAAAACTTCGGGGCGTAACCAGATTCATCAATTTAGTACCCTAACTTGTTAACTGAGAACTCACATTTGCTTAGTTTTAGCGCCCATCCTTCTTCATTCAATCGATCCATGACCTTTTCGACTAGAGTGTTGTGATCTTCAACTCTTCCTTTAGTGACCACCAGTATATCATCAAGGTAACATATAACTCCTTCCAATCCTTGTAAAGTACAATCCATCGCTTTCTGAAATTCCGTGGGCATGTCCGTCAGTCCGTAGAAACCAGTTTTGAATAGATACGTGCCGGTTGCTTCTCCACGCAAAATACAAAAGTTAAAATGACTACTGGTTAGAGCAGATAATGGTAACTGACTAAAAGCATATTTGAGGTCAAGAGATGTAAACCACCATTTTCCAGGTGTGTCTCTAGTGATGATTTGAGCTGTCGCGTCAATCAACCCATGCATATTAGGCATTTGGTACTTGTTCTGTCAGATTTGGACATTCATTGGTTTAGCATTAAGTGCAAGTTTTATCGACCCGTCTTTTTTAGCAGTTAGTACTATGGGTGCAATAAAATGGTCCGTCGTACACTTTTCTAATTTTTGAGTATGTTCATCTTTGGTTAACTTTTTAATCTCGGCCGTGACTCGATCTTGTAAATGAATAGGGACTTTGCGGCCTTTAACCTTCCTAGGTATCAAAGGATCTTTAAAGTTAGTGAACACTTTATGGTTTTTCGAGCTCCCCAGCCTGTTGAACACATTAGGGTACCTTTTCACAAAAGGATCCCTCCAGAACTGAGAAGTCGGATCCAATTCCTCCACATCCTCCGTGAAGTTAACTTCAGTTGGTCCTCGTTGGACTGTTTCAATTCCCAATTGTTTATGAAGGTTTAATCCAAGCAGATTTCGAGTCCGATTTTCGGACACCAATAAACACGCGTTGTCGATTTTCCATCCTTTCGACGCAATCGCAATTACTAACGACCCAAACAGTTTAATTGGTTTTTTATTGTAGTCAACATAAGTAACACCTAGTGGATATCTCGCGACGTCCTTAAACGTAACATGGGGAAGCCGTCTCATCAGTATTTCCGCTGTCTTCTTGTTCAGGAATGAAACGGGACAGCCGGTATCCACCGTAGCATGAAAAAAGATTTATCGGAACGTAATTGAATACCGAGGCTCCTCGGTTGTCCTCCCTCCGCCTTACAGAGTTCTACATTGTTGATTTGTACGACATCCACCGCCATGACTCCGTATTCCGGTTCACTATCGTCGTTTACATCGATAAAGTTACACTCTTGATCGGAAGGTACCTCATCCTGTTGCGCCATGTTAACTCGGCGCTTTGTAGTGTTACACACCTTGGCGAAATGACCTTTCTTTTTTCAAGCATTACAAGTAGCTTCTCTGGCCGGACACGTCCGACGGTGTTCGAGGGAAAATGGGTTACCACAAAAGTAGCAAGGTTTGTTTTGATTCTGGCGTTGATTGGAACGGTTGAGGCCTCCTCCGCGACTGTTGTTTCCTTGATTGCTGAATTGCTGGACCGAAGAAGTCGGTTCTTGTTTGACCCGAATGGAACTAGCGTTTGTCGAAGAAGAGTTGTTATGTGGAAGTAACTTCTGGAATTGCTCTGATGTCTTAGCCCCTTTCTCATTCTCCAATGCCAACTGCAGAGTATCATCAAAATTAGCCTTCGCCCTGATTAGTTGCCGTTGGACCTCTACATCCCTAATACGACCAATAAATAAGTCCTTCAAGGTTGCCCTTTCTTGGTCAATCGGCCAATTACACAACGCGATTTGAGCGCTTAGTCGTGCGTAGAACGAGGAAAACGAATCATTCTCTTGCATAAACATTGTGTTATACAATTTAATTCGTTCGACTGTATAATCCTGCTCTGCCTTAAATAGATCTTCACAACATTTGTGAAAGTCAATGAAAGAGGATGTATTCAGGTCCACATGAGGATAAAAACCCAAAAATCGCTTTTTTCCTCATTTCCTAGTGCGAAGAAGAGTCTAGATTTCAGACGCGCCTCTGCCTCGATATAGCACCAGTTATGTCCGATACGAGGGGCTTTTCGTCTCCTTTCTTGATTGTACTCATCGATTCTTCTATTCGCTGCTGCAATTCGAAGAGTCCTGTTAGCTACGTCTGCTGCATTTTCATCGATTCCTGGAGCTTCAGGCTTCGGGTAAGGTTCATCAACCAACTCCGCTGGGTCAACTAACACCTCCCCCGGCGAGATATTGTCTTTGAGACTAAAGGCTAAGAAAAACTGTCTTACCGATGTCTCCCAAATAAATGGTGGGTTAACCGATGTTTTAGCCCAAAATAGGCGTATTCCGAGTAGGTCAGTCCTGTCTTCATTCACAGGAACTGCTGGCTGCGCCATGAGATTTCCCACTGTTGGTGCAGGGAAAACTAGATTATAAAATTCGAATACTGAATTAGATATGATATATAAATAGATAGAATAGAATAACGTATGTAGAATAATCGTTTCCAGACTGAATAAAGATTAACAGATTTCTGAACTCGATTTTACGCCTCAGGCTTTCGCAACTGGCATTTTCACATTCTCAAGTGACAGATGATTAGGCTGGTGAGATTTGTCCTTGAGTCAAACTACTGCACTATGGTGAATAGATAAAAAGGCAATAATTATATAAGATATACATGAATAAATAGAATAGAGTGAGGTACCGAAGGTCGCCTCATGACAATAGGGGAAATTTTGCTAAAGTGGGATAAGTAGTGCTGAACAGGAGAAAATAGCTGAAGAGTACTGAAGAAATTAACTAATGAAATTTGTAGATGACAACTGACTGAAAATTGTAGAGCTGAAGAGAATAACTACTAATTGTAGGAACTGAACAGAACAGTATAATGGAAGAGTGAAAAATGTTTTTTGTCCTAACCAAAATGGAGCGACGGCGGCCATTTGCACAAACAGCCAATCTTAATACATAGGGAACCTATAGGCAATCTTAATACATGGGAAACCTACAGACAGTCTTAATACATAGGGCCCTGGAGAAAGGGTGTATCCGTGTATGTATTCTTGTTAGAGGATAAAAATGAACCTTGAGAAACCCCGATTCGGACAATTCTGGTTGTCGACATATGGTTTCTTAAAAAAAAACTGGCTTGGCGCCCACTGAGGTAGTTTGATAGCCACTTGACAAGAGCAACGGGACGTTGAAGCAGTGGATAAGCTGGAGAAGCATACGGTGGCACACTATGCTGATTGTTGGGAGGTTGAGGTTGGTAAGTCTTTTTGGTCAGCTGAGCTAAGTGAAATTTACACCAATTTTGGGTTCAAATGTTCTTTGTAAAACTCATTTTAAATTAAACATAGGTTAATTAATATTCACCAACCACAAGTCTGTTCTGGTCATAAATTCTTTGGGTTAAAACAATAAAATTGAATCTGTAGCTGACTTCATTTTCTCTCGCAACACATGAAATCTGAGCCCCAATTTTTGCAATATCCTTGGAATTTGGGTAGCTCAAAAAGGCCTTATCGCAAATTTTCAGCCTAATCGGCCGGTGGCTTTTCACGGAGTCATTTATTTGTCTATTTACTGTTTTTGTAATCAGACAGCTTCGAAAAATCAAAGGACTTATAACCGTTCTAGTGAGAATGATAGTCTTAATTTTGCGACAAATTTTGCCTAGTTAGCCTAGCCATATTTTGTTTTGTTATAATTTTCTGAACGAGAGACTTTTAGTTTGAAGAGATTTTTTGTTTTTTAGTACGCACCAATCTGCCAAGTAGAACCGAATTTGCAGCTGTTGTCAACTTGACGACAGCGTTGTCATAAGACTTTCAAAATGAGCCCCGAAGTTTGAAAAATCCTTAGTTATTGAAAAAATATTCTACACTTTAGTTCACATATGTAACCATAACAAGAAAATCGACTTACCTTTTTGTTCTCTGTGTTTGGTCTATGTTTTTGCTCAATGAACACAACTAACGTGAAGTCTGCACTAACAAAATGATTTTATTATTTTTGCGGTGTCTGCGTGACTATAAAATTACAACAGCTAATCTTCAAAATACTGCATTAAGCTGCGTACTAATTTTAGATCGGTTTTTAACGTTATCAGCAAAACGGTTTGAAGGTGCATATAAAGTTGATGGATGTTGGTTGATATAGTTCTTAAATGTTCAACTAATCAAAAAACTTAAAATTAAGATAATAAAACGTACTGTAGTGGTATAAGTAATGGTCAGTGGTAAACTGGTAACAAAACGAAATGAAAAACGCCCGCCTTTCAAAATATAGTCGAGCTGAAAATGGTCTATTTCTCCCAATAGTAGTTGGTAACAGCCTTTTCTTTGCGCAATGTGTAAAATGGCGGTCTGGAAATATCCGATAGTACGTACGTGTATAGACTTAAAGGAATGACTTTACAATAACGAAGGAATAAAACGGGAATGGCCGTTTTGTTATGCGGCTGGCCTATGTTATATTGAACAGTATTCAACTATCTGCGTTTACTTTGCTGTGTGATTTCTTGCTTGTGCATGGGAGAAGGTGGCCAGTCAATAAGCAGAAGAGTCTAAAAGCAAAATTGGTCAAAGAGCAGAAAACAAAGCAGAAAAATACTAAATTATAGAAAAATTTTTATAAGCTAATCGGTAAATTAAGTATAAGAATTGCCTGATCTACCTAACAATCTCCCCCTTTCAAGAAAGGGGGGATTGTTAAGTAAGATTACTTGCAGCGAATTTTCGACTCAAAATGCAGCGAAATTCGAATTTACACACAACGCTCTTAGTGCGAATTTACTGTTTTTATTTACAGAGTCTTTCGTAGATACAAAACTTGATGAAATCATTCAATTCATGCATTATTTATTCATTTTTTAGCTATTATTTACGAAACTCTAATAATTGTTTTAATAAATTACAACTATGTATAAGTCAATAGAAGTTAAATTTTTGTTTTTCTGTTCTTAGACTCAATCTGCTCTTAGACCATTCTGTTCATTGGTCCGCCTCCATGGAAGAATTGAAGAATTACTTGAATTTTAAGGGAATTGGGAATTCAGGAAGGAAACGCTGTTTTAACGTAACGGTCCGCAGCAGGCAAAATAGATAGAGCAGCCCCTGTTAGTAGTGCGACTATCAGAGGTGGCAGTAGGAGTGCTATCTACCGTGTTGACCTCGCAAGGATAGTCTGGTCATCCCTGATTCAACAAAATAACCATGAATCAGTGCTGCAAAATTACC